GGGTTAGGTAGATGCTCGTCTTGGAGGTGCCGAAAAAATACTCTATGCTCGATTGAACGTCTACGGACGTCGGGCACAGAGGGCATGTCCACTCGTTCTTCTGCTCTGGTTCCCAAGACATACGAGCTCTACCCATGATACATCTGCCATAATACCCATATAGAATGTTTCAAGTGTTTGCGAGCATTGCCTTACGTCTTTGAATCTACTCATGCAGTTAGGGCATTGGTTCGATGTAACGCCACTATGCAATATGTGCGTCATCTTGTGTCAGTTTGTCTGATGTCCCATAAGGGCCCTGTAGGTGTCGAACTGGAGGCCACATGAGTTTCCCTCGGGGTCCGTGATCATGCATGTGTATACGTTTTCGCTTTTGGCTTCGGGGCAATGTACTTCTGGAAATAGTGTGCACCATTTATCATAATGTGTGAACGCTGCTGCTCTTAAGATCGAGGGGTCGATGCGAATGAATTCGTGGAACGAGTCGGAGTTGGGGTCGAATAGGGTCTTCCATGAGAAACCAGCCGCTTCCCACGCCTCGAAAAACTCTCGGTCCCACTCACCCCCTCGTAGAGGTACAGACTGCGATGAAACTCTTTTGCCCATGGATTTGCGTCGATACTGAGCTGTCCGTCTGGCAACAGCGTCGGTCGCTCATTCTGTAAATGACCGAAAATCGCCGCAATGGTCTGGCTATGGGCGTGGCGGTGGTTGAGCATGCCTTGAAGCCACCTGATCCTGCGCACCGCCAACTCTCCCCGAGCGGGGATGATGCGAAATCTGTAGAGCACCTCTGAATTCCGAAGTGTGCGAACGTGTGGCCCATCGTAGGAAGTGGCAGCATCTCGCAATAGAACTCGTAGGTATTTTACAGTGCAGGAGTCGATTCTTTGATATTCTGCTGGCTTAAGGGCAAATGCTTCTAAACCCGTGATGCCACTTTCCACAATTTTGCCAAGCAAGAGCTCGCGCTTGAGGCGATGCAATCCACGCTCGTGTCAAAATAGACCGATGACCGACCAGCCCGCGTGCATAGAACGCATTCTGCACCGCACCTCTGAAGCGTTAGAGCCGTTCATATGGTGCCGAGCTCCCAGGTGCCTAGCGTGGCTTTGAACGGTGCCACAGGACTCAGGGCATATTTCCTGAAGGCGACGGTTTTCCTTGGTGGATCCCAAACATGGTATGATGTTTTTTCTGTGCATATTCTGCCGAAAACGCAATGTTTCCAGAACCTGGTTCATGTTCGAGTCGCCCTCCTGGATTGCTTCTAGAGCCCCAGACGCCGAGGGATCTTCTAAAAGTCGCCGTCGAAATAAATCATTTGCAATACCTACCATCGAACAGTCCAGAGCTGTGTTTCCAAAGACTCCTGATAGGTAAACGGGGGTCCCGTCGAGCTCGGCGATTTCATCATAACACTTGTCGAAGACGCCGACGAATTGCCGAGGTGCCTCACAGGATCCTTGGAGCCCCCCGTTCTTGCTAATAAAAGCCTCAAACTTGTTGTCTACTTCGATTAAAACTACCTTGTCGATCAGGCGCTGCTTCGCGAAGTCCTGGAGATCCTCGCGCACCATGATCCCAGAAGTGTGCATTCAAAGGTCCTCAGTCGTTGGACACAAGAATGCATTCGTCATGTCGTGAAGCTCGCAAATGTGGGGGATCCTGGCTTTTCGTAACGACCATCCTAGACGTAGTTGTACTAGTATGGCCCCCTCCCTCCTCCGATATCTCAGAAAACCATGCCATCTTCCACAAAACGATTTGACATACGCCTCATCTTTGTCCCCTCAGCTCTATATAGTACTGAGTACCAATACATCCAAAACACATCCGATAAGTGTACTATGCATTGGCTGAACATGTTGCTCTTTCCGTTAGGCTCGTCAAGCAGGATTTTTTCAGTGATACTAGATTTTGTGGGCAGTTGTCCCACCTCGAAAGACCGAATCCGAATTTTTCAAACTCCAGGCGTGCTCGTGTCATCTCTGCAGTGGTTGCAAGTATGTGCTCACGTCCGTCAGGGGCTCGCTGGTCGTCGGGTTTCGCACGGCCTGGTTGAGTACTAAATATTTGTGCCGACTGAGAAGCTGGGGGAGCGATTTGTTCGTCAAGTTCTTCGTGAGGTCCCATGTGCAGGTCGAAGTCCATGTTATCGATCTCTGCGAAGGGATCTCTCTCCCCCTCGTCGGCCGTAGTCCAGCGTTGACGTGGTCCTTCGTCATTGAGGGCGTGTTCTCCATGCGCTGAAAAACTGGGGTTGGTAGTATGCCCATCAAAGTAGAGATGTTGACCCAAACCTGGTCGCTCCTCCTGCTTCTCAGTAGTATCAGAGTGGCCACCATACCCCAGCCCAAACTTGGAATATCGCTGCTTGGATCAATGTCCAGGTTCCAGAACAATAAGAGCCAATTCCGATGGTACACTCCATTTTGGTCCGCAACGTCTGCCGCAGGAGGGAAAGGAGGAGGAGGAGGAGGAGGAGGAGGAGGAGGAGAAGGATAATGTTGGATGAGAGGGTCAGGAGGAGGGCGGGAAGGGGAGGAGAACGAGGAGGAGGAGGAGGAGGCTATTCAGAGCTTTAGTCTCGTTTTCGTGGACTCCTGGGGTTTCAAGGGGGCTCTAGGATCAGCCTCATCCCTCCTCCTGCATTGTCCCTCATCTGACAAGCTGGCTGCACCAACTCGCTTATCGGATGTGCTGTTGCGGGCCAAGCGGAAGCACGGCAGTGGCAGAAATCGAGAGGGCCGACTCACCATATTGACCCCCCCCGGCTCCCTCCTCCTCCGCTTCCTCCTTCTCCTCCTCCTCCTCCCCTCCCCACCTCGCCCCCCTCTTTCTCCTGCCTCCCTCCCGGAGGGGCAGGAGGAGGATAGTGAAGGACGGTGAGGATGGCACGTGGTTTGGGCCCCGAGGTGCCGCGCCGAACCGAGGCACCCCATCCAGGGGCGCCGAGGTGGAGGAGGAGGGCGATAAGGAGGAGGAGGAGGTTCGGGCATTTTTGGAGAAGGAGGAAGTACAGTCAATCCGCATAGTAAGGATGGATGGACAACTTGTTCAAGGGTACCCTCTGCATCCTTGCCTGCTCGGTCCATCCTTGGCCACTTGGGTTGGCTGCGGCCGCGCCCTGCTCGAAAAGCTTCGAAATGGACGTCCAAGGCCTTTTGCATCCGAATCGCGCATCCTTATGGTACGGGCCGGCTGTAACACTAGTAGAGGGATTGGGAGGGCGGGGAACCGTGACGATGAGGAGGAAGAGGAAGAGGCGGGAGAAGGCAGAGGGGGGGATCCAGAGGGAGTGGAGGAGGAAGGGGAAGATTGTGGGTGAGGAGCACGGGGATGAGGATGAGGAGCAAGAGGGGAAACATGAAATAGGGCTGACACAGAAGATCATGGACCTTCAATTTCGGCTTCAGTCAGTGCGTTCGAGGACCTTGCATACCAACCGCGCGTCATTGCGATCCGGTCGCGCTGTAGGAGCTCGAGAAGAAACATGATGAGGAATAGGAGGCGGATGAAGGAATCAGCAGGAAGATGCGGAGGACGCGGACGAGAATGGCGCCACCAGCCGGGGAGGCAACTTCACGCGCAAGTGGATCGAGAAGGGCTGGGCAGCCGAGTCCACGCGCCTGTTCGACCTGGGCCCGTGGGGGAGCGCCAAATTGACTTTGCGTTCAGGGAATCAGCAGGAGAGGGAGTAGAGGAGAGGGAGGAGGGAAGATGATTCGGATGAGTAGAGGGAGGCGGTAGGAGGAGGAGGAGAAGGAGGAGGAGGAGGAGAAGGAGGAGGAGGAGGAGGAGAAGGAGGAGGAGGAGGAGGAGGAGAGGAGCGAGATGGAGGAGGAGGAGGAGGAGGAGGAGGAGGAGGCGGCGAAGATGAAGGCGAGGAGGAGGAGGAGGCGGAGGAGGAGGAGGAGGCAGGATTAGGCCCTCCTCATTCTCCCTCCGACACCTCGCCCGCCCCACCCGGCCCCCCGCACCCTCTGCCCTTCCTCCTATCTCTCCAGTCGGTTCGCGCTTCGGGTCCCGTCCTGCCAGGGTCGACCCCCTCGTCCAGGCTTCTCTTCCCCCTCCCCGTTTCCTCAGCTGTCTAGTCCGGACAGCTCACGTAGCTGGAAGACCAGTTGCGTGAGCTGACTCGCTAACCCCCCCCCGGTACGTGGCTCGATTTCCATGGATTTATCCGTAAGGGCTTCGCCCCCTGCCGCCGGCCCCCACTCTCGGAGAATGGGCCATGGAAGAGCTAAGTCATGAGGCTTTGGCGCTGTCGTGAAGCAGTATCGAAACTTCATGCGAAGCCGATTCGCAATCAGCAAAACAAACTGATCACAAGAGGGGTTACCACACCTGGCGATTGGTAAGACGTGTATGGTTTACGGGCTTGGTTACCACACCTTGCGATTAAAGGGCCGAGGGAGTTCTCGCAGTTTGGGTTACCACGCCTTGCGATGGATGTGCGTGAAGGGTGGCACCGAATTTCAGAAATGTAGCAAATCCCCTGTGGTTTTGGACCCTGACCCCGCGGATCTGCGTGAGGGGTGGCACCGAATTTCAGAAATGTGGCAAATCCCATGTGTTTTTGGACCCTGACCCCGCGGATCTGCGTGAGGGGTGTCGATTTCGAGCCCCCCCAGCAATTCAGACAAAGCGCCCAGGAGACGCTAAAAATCCCGTTTGGGCCTCCCCCCCCCTCGCGCGGTCAATCAATTAGTTACAGTAACCAGCAAGAAGTCAACTTAGTTACAGTAAACCAAGCAAGAAGTGCAAGAAACTGTAACACTGGAAACTACAAGCTACAACTGGTACTGGAAACTGCGAACCCGCGCCTACAGCCTGGTGGCCCCACAAGGGGGCCGGCGGATTCCAGCCCGTGGTTGTGAGGGTGAATTGGGTTCGCTTCCCGAGATCTCGAGCCCGGGTCCCACCCCCCCCCACTTCGTCGCCAGGGCCCATGGGGCCCGAGGCCGTGGCCGCGGCCAGGCACGCGCCAGCTGAAGATGAACAACATCATAGACATCTCGGCCGACAACCCCGACACGATTGGGCGCGCGTACTCCGTGACGGTGTCCAACGCCGGCGTCTACGGTGCCTGGGGGGGCGCAGAGGGGGCGGCTCGGGGGCGGCGGTGCCAGCCCGATGGCGCTTCGGGGGTCCAGGCGAGGGGAGCGAGGAGGCTGAGGAGGCGAGGGGGATGATAATGAGGAGGGGGAGGAGGAATTGGAGGAGAGGAAGTTGGAGGAGGAGGAGGAGGAAGAGGAGGAGGAAGAGGAGGAGGATGGCTGGCAGCGCTGAGGAAGATGCCGCAACCGACGGCGCCCAAGCCGACGACTGAAGCGTTCCTAATATGGACAGTCGCTGCTTTTTGGAATCGCTTCGGAGTAGCAAGGAACAGGTCATCAAAGCCGGTTGTTATCGACAATCTGAAACATGTTCCACACATTTCCTTACATTTGGTCCATTCAATCATTCGTTTTAGGAGCACCAGAAGCGCCACCGATCTTTGCGTAACGCAGCCGTTGCCTGATCGGAAATGCCGATGGTTGCGGCAACCGGGGGCGAATATGCGTCTCGCCATGGGATTCGACATGGCTCATGGTTCGCCTTTGGGGGGCGCTCGCCGCGGGGGCGCGCCGTGGATTGGCATGTGGCGCGGGGTCTGGCGTCGCGCGTCTGGGCCCGCGCACGGGGCCCCGCAGAGTCCGCCTTCGGTGGGCCTCTGCACGGGGCCACGAGTCGTGTGAGAGGCGTGCCGGCATGAGTCGGGCCGCCACGCGACCGTGGCCGCTGAGGCCGGGGCCTTGCGGTGGAGTTCCCTATGGGCCACGAGATGTGCGATGGTCTCGAAGAGGCGGGCCCTGGGAGGCCCAGGACGGCCCCAGGAGGGCCTGGCTCCCAGAGGGGCAGACTCCCGCGGCCGGCGGCTGTGCGCCGGCGGCCGTGCGCCGCATGTGTGTCACATATTTTGATGTCATGGATAGATGGGGAAATGGGCACCACCGCGCGCACCTACTCAAGTGGCCTACGCCATGTCTGGAAGAAGAAGAAGAACAAAACGGCATGCAACTTTTGGCGCTCCGCGCGGATATCTTGGATCGGCGCCTGGGCCCTCCCTTCTGGCGGCGCCTCCGGTGCGGCCCTTGGCGCGCTCCGCGCGGAAGGGAGGGGGGTTCGGCGCCGATCTGCGCGGAGCGCCAAACGTTTATGTCTATGCCGTATTTGTTCCTCTAGAACCAGGCGCCACCGTGCGCACCTACTCAAGTGGCTCACGCCATTCCGCTTGGCCCCAGAAGGAGTGAGAGCTTGCGACGATCGTGGAAGGCATGTAGTGAGTCGCGAGCCTGTTGGATGCATCTGAGGGGCTGTTGGGTAGCTTCCCGGGGGCATCTTGGAGGGCTCTTTGTGGCACCTTGGTGGTTTTTGGTGGTTTCTTATTTGCCTCTGGAGGAAACCCTTCGGGGGGCGCTTGCCTGGCATCGCTCGGACATGTGCATGTTGTCTCGACGAGCCACCCTCTTCATGGCCCCCCCGCGTCGGCGCACCCGCTCCTCCGGCTGCTTCTCCAGCTGCTCCCCCTCTACCCGCTCGGCTCCGATTCTCATGCCCTCTCCGTCATTGCTCGTCCTCCTCGCTTCCCTGCGACGCCGACGATGACGACGACGACGACGACGACGACGACGACGACGACGACGACGACGACGACGACCACGACGACCACGACGATCACGACGACGTCGCGCGCCCTCGACGCGGGCGACGCCCGAGGCTACGGGGAGAAGGACGGCCGGTACGGCGAGCTCACCCTCAAGGGCATCTACTTCGGAGTGTCGCACCGCGTGTCGGGCGCGATGCTGGCCCGAGGGGGGGTGGGTGCGTGGCGGGCACCGGCGGGGAGATCGGTGGTTCAAGGATGGGGTCCTGAGGGATGGGGCTCCAAGAACAGAAAGGGATCCAGTTAAAACGACGCGAAGATCGGGACAAAATCGGATCGGGATAACTCGAAATCTCTGAGAATCGGCGGGTTTGGAGGATGTATTGGGCGCCGCGGCCGCTCCAGAGCGTTCCGGAACGCTCTGAGAGCGCTCCGGAACGCTCTGGAGCGATTTATCCCGATCCTAGCCCTGTTTTACCAGTGATCGAGGCAACTCGTCCTTAGGACCCCATCCCTCAGGACCCCATGCTTGAACCACCGAGGAGAGGCAGGGTGGATGGGGCGTTGCGCAACGGGGGGGGGCGATGCGCGGGACGCGGGGGGCTCCGAAGAGAGGTGCCGCTCTCCTGCCCCTGCGGGGGCCCTCAAAGGGGCTCCCCCTGGGGCCCAGCAGGCGAGCGACGAAAGGTGCACGCCTCTTCGCTCGAAGGAGAAACAAAAACGGCATACACATAAACTTTTGGCGCTCCGCGCGGATTTCTTGGATCCGCGCCTGGGCCCCCCCGGCGGTGCCGCCGGCGCCGCCCCTGGCGCGCTCCGCGCGCCAGTGAGGGGGGTCTGGCGCGGAC